TGCCGCGCGCATTATTAATTCAACCACCGGAAAATGTCAACGTAGCCCTTTTCTTATCTCTTTGCTTTTCTTTATTTTACTACGGCACCTTCTTCATCTTGCCTTTTATCTTTATCGTTTTGTTCGACCTCGCGCGATTCGGTGAATCCAATCTGGAAATGATACCTTCCTCTGATTATCTTCGTAAAATATCTTTTGCATATTTTTTTTATATATTTTCTAGCTATACTAAGGAAACTATTAAATATTTTAACAAATTTTAACAATTTTAATAAATATATTGCAACAAAATTTTTTGTTTTTTTTAAATATTATATATAAACATAAATGTATATAAACATATATTTTTCGAAGATTATGTATAAATATATATAACTACTTTAAATATCTAATAATGTTAAGTTTTCTCCTTGAAGAAGACAGAAATTACGAAATCGATTTGCGTACGCGCAATCTCGAATAGACGACTCGGCACGCGGAGATACGATATCGGATTTCCAAACGTTTTAATCACCGTTTTTCTTTTTCCGTCGCGATTTCCTTTCTCCCCCACCCGACGGAAAGAGTCCTCTCGCGGAAAGGAGTTATCACCGAAGGAAGCTATGGGCAACCGACGGTTGGCGTAGGCCCGGAAAGGGGTTGGAGGCATCCAGCGGGGGTTAAAACGACCCCCGCAGCCGAGGCTGAAGTCTGAAAGATAAGGTACCCCTCTTCTCTTCTCTCGGTCTCCTAGATTATGGAATGGCACTTTAATTACACTAATGGGAGAACCAAATGTTAATTACAATTCGAAGTCTAAAAGAGAGACGATTCGCGGGTTCAACAAAGAGGAGAAGCTTGGCAAGACGGCGTAAAAGATAGAGGCAGTGCTAGGGAGGATGGTCCAAGAAAAGAACGAGATGAGATTTGCTTGCGCAGGAAGGTTGCTCTCTGTGATTAGTATTATTTAATTAAAAATATCTAATCTTTGACTATAGTCTCTTCGCATAATGTCACATTGTCAGATTTGGAAATTCACTGGGATAATTGATTATATCATGTTATTACATCGACGTTTATTATGTATTAAATTATATTTCAGAAATTATAATATATGTGATATTATTTAAACTCTACAAGATGGTGATATAAATACCATATTTTAATATCATAATAACGTTCTCACATCTTGTATGTATAAGTAATAAATAAGTTATAATTATCATCTTATTTAATGGAACATTATCAAACATTGTAGTTTTCCCGTTGTTCTTTTATAACGGTTATTTTACTTTAAGCTTACGTTTACGTTATTCTTTTATTTATGGATTATTAACTTTTTTTGTTTTATCTTCACATTGCGTTACTTTTTTTTTACAAGTTTATTAATTAATATCTTACAATAATATCAAAGTAAAATCTTGGATCAGGATTTATTTCAATAATTCTTATATTTAAATGATAGAAAACTTTCTTAGTTTTTTCTAATATTTCAAAATTATTTTAGTATTAAAATAATTTTGAAATATTAGAAATATTAGAAAATACACAGTAAAAAAAATAACCTTGTATATTTTTATAAATCTACAATATATTTAGAAAAATTAATGTTAAAAATTTGATTGAGTTTACTTTTCAACAAGATTGAATTAGTTCGTTTCTTTCATTATATATATATTATATAAATGTTTTTACTTTCTGGTTGTAACATTATGATATCATCTTGCGAGACGACGATGACGATGATTATGATGACAATGACGGCGATGAGATATTGACGGGAAAGGAACGACGCGGACGTCGGGCGAGTTTCAATTTAAAGTTGGACGAACGTGTCGGGATTTCAATGTACAAAATGCGTATGCTAAACTCTTCGCACCCCTCGTGGCGCGCTCCTCTCCGCTTCTCTCCGTCTTCTCGGGGCTGAGAGCTCCGACAGGCCGGGGCCCTTGACGGGTGCCGGTGGACAAGGTCCACGCCGACGTTGCGACGACAAAAATCAGCAAGTCTGATCAGTGGCGCCAAGTAGAAAGGGGCGCAAGTAGAACGCCGCTTGTTGTAGCAAGCCCGCACGCGGGACATTCGTCCCGCGTGCACTTTGAAGTTCGTGTCCCAAAGGACAAATTACTTTTTCGAGGCGGTCGCCCGGCCTTGAAACCCTTACAGAGCGCCCTTAGATCCCTTTAATGATCGCGGCTGTCGATCGAAGGTAATGCATATCAATGGACGGGACGGCGAAACAAACGTCCGATACGCCGATAGTTCCTAATGACTTTCTGAATTTTACTTTTTAAAATGTCTTCCTCCGCGTCGCGACTCGCCTTTTGAGCACACTCGATGATATTATTACCGTGATTCAAAGGCTCAATATAAACTTTATAACGTCGATCAGAATCACGGGTGCATCTCAATGCAGCTTCAAAGAGTATTATTCTTTCGTTAATATACATTTTATTAGGGGAAAAGTACGACCTTCGTAATATATTTGTTTATAACTAAAAGAAATTTTTGTTGCTGTTTCATAAATTAATTGTAATCTATAACAGCATCTAAAAAATATTACAATATAAAGAATATTGTTTATAAAATAATATTATTACTAATTATTGTTTTTGTCTTAACAATTTTTTTCAGTATTAAATATTAAAGAAAATAAAGTTTATTTTTAAAAATTAACAGAGATAATTCTTTATAAGACAGAGTAGGAGACGAATGTTTAATTTCCAAAGTTTTATGTTTATTTGTTCACTATATCAATGTATTGAACAATTGAACGTATTCATAAATCTGTATTTGTAAAATATTCACACATATATCGAATTCATATTTGCGTCAGATCATCAGAGAGAGACAAAACAGAAAAAAATGCATCGACAGCAAGACTTTGTCTTAGATCGGCGAGAAGTTTCGCTTCAAGACTTGGATTACCGCGTGGCTACGGGTAGATTTGAAAATTGTGGGGCCCCGAGGGCTCCTGGGGAGGGCGGTGTGGCAGGGTAGAGCGTGATTGATTTTGCATACGACACAGATTGGACAGGTTTGAGAAATTGGACTGGCTTTCTGCCTGGTTTGGCCTCTTCGTCTCTCTCTCTCTCTCTCTTTCTTCGTTATCCTTCTCTTCCCGCTCCTTCTCTCTCTTTCTTTCCTTTTCCATCATTTTGTCTTTCGCGTTATGGACCTTGCCTTCGTATATGTTACACGCGTGCGTAACTCGCATATACTCGCCATATCGCCATGCGTATTTCTACGCGGGACGAAAGAAGGGTTCCCTCTCGTATCTCTTGCAGGGAACGTCGAAGGGGATTGGCCTTGAACGAGCGATTTGTGCGATCTTCAAGGATGTATTTATGAGCATTCTAGCCACCCCGGTCTGAACTTTCATATTACGCTCGCCATTTTAGAGAGTCGGCCTTGCGTGTAGTAAGTTACATGTATACAATATGCGTAATATTTTTGCAGGATTATTTCTTTTTTATTTTTTATTCATTAACATGTTCTTTTAACATGTTGATGATTTAAATGTATTGACAAAAAATGTATTTTTATGGGATTTAATATGTCATTGAATTTATCAAAATGTATATAGTTGAAAAAGAATATCTCTCTACGCATCCTCTTTTATCGAATTATTTACATTATATTGAATGTTTTCCGTCGTTTGTCTCTATGCAAAATAGAAAAATATTGCATTAATAAAATTTCACTTTTCATGGTAAATGGAAAACGCGCAAAATACGCGTCTCAAAGCGGTACAACGTGTGATCATGCGGGAAGACTGAGGAGGGATTGTTGAGCCATCCGGGGTCGCTCTCGTCTGGCGTTATCCGCCGACGTCGGAGTGGATAACAGGCCGAACGATTTATTCTAAACCTTTATCCGGGGGCGCCCTCCAAATTTATGAAAGAAGACGCCCGTTTAACCGACTCGCTCAGTCATCCCTCACCGCGGTGGTGAAGCCACCCTTCCCTCGCCTGTCTTCCACGCCTCTCTCCGTTACTCTCACGGAGCTCTATCCCGCTTCGGTTTCTCCCTCGGCTTGGTTCGGCTCTCCCGCTGTGCTCGCATGTCAGCCCTTTATTTTATACCGAAGCGAGTCAGTCCGATTTGGTCCTAATATTAAAGGGGATGTCTTGCCTTCAGCGCGTGATCGGGATGTCAAATCTCTCCAATACGCCCGCATTTCTAGTCTTTTCTAAAATGAGTTCGGGATGGCTGCAACTACACGTCGTGTATTTCGTCTTGTGTGTTCTTCACTTGTAATTATACATATTTATTTGTTGAATTGCAAGGTAACAGCTTTATTTTATTATTTTATTATTATTTAAATATTATTATTTAAATACTATTATTGAAAATTTTATTATCTTATTTTTAATATGTTTTTGTAGACAATTATAGAAGTAAGACATGACGTTTTCTTATATAATATCAATTTAATCGATAAAGAGGAAATAAACAGAAAAATGGAATTAAAATTAATACATGTTGTGCATGCATATATAGAAAATAGAATAATTGTTTCATTTTATATTTGATATTATTTATATTTTATTCTTGCATGTTGAATAAGACAATATATTAAAATTTATATATGTATTTTCTCAAAAAATAATATTGATCTTACAAAACAAGTCTTTTTTTAATTAAGTATATGTAAATTTTTCTCTCCTTTTAGTTAAATGCATAAATTTTTAATATATATTAATATAATATAATATAACAGATATTTAACACAGAATCCAATATATAAAGTGTCGTTTCACTTACAATGTCCGTACTACTAGTAATAGCAATCAAAATAATGAATTCAAACCTTGTCATTTGCTGCTTACGAGTAAATTATTCGTTCGTTTCATAATTTAAAATAGCGTACTTAGATTTGACTTTAGTCACGGCACATCTGTCTTCCCACATTACGAAACTTGTCCTTAATATAGTATAAGCAATTAAAGAAATACTTCGCTTATAAATTAGGATTGACGTCGGAGGAATAATTTCACGTAATACGTTTCCTGTTACAGTTATATCTGAGCAAAACACGGCAGGCTGCCTTCTCGGCCGATTTGCAGCAGTCTCTCTCACGAACAGTCAGTCCAACCGCACGCCAGCAAGGTAAGTTTTTACATTACTATTTTTCCAGCACGCGAGCCATTCTCCACCTCTCTCTCTTCTCTTTTTTTCTCATAGTTTTGCGACCAAATGAAGAATGATTTATCATTCGGCCTGTGCTAGAATGGTCCCAGTCGTCTTTTTTTATTATTCTTGCGAAACTTTCAATGCACTTTTGATATAATTTTAATATTCAAACAATTTACTTTTCTTTCTCATGAAAATACATCGCGATCAATGCAATTTCGAAGAATTGTTTCTTTCCAATAAAATTTAACTTTCCAATAAAATTTAATAAGAACTTTAATTTATATATGTATATATAATAGAATTCTATTTTTATAATTTTAAATTAAATTGTTAAAAAATAATTTGACATCCGTTTAAATTATTACTAAAATTAAATTTATATTAATTCAAAAAATACAAAAACCCAAAAATATTCTTTAAAACTTATTAAGAAATTGCTTAATTTTTTTAAGCTAACATAGTAAAAAATATTTTATTTAATTTACATTGAAAACACCTTTTTATTGCATAATATCTAATATCTGATATCTTTTATTCTGCGGGAAGTTTTTGAAATGTTTCATTATAGTTATCTATAACTTATCAATAAATAAGCATTTCCCGACTTTTTATGTTTCACGATTTTCATGGGTTTGATTGTGACAATAAGAACGATGATTGCAAGTAGCTATAATACAAAGTACTTTTGCCGTATAGTCTCTCGACAGAGAATAACATAAATAATTTAATAAACTAGGAAATTGATATGATTGCATTTCCTAAGAATAATGTTCTGCTTCCAATAGATAAGACGCGCGTGGAATTTAAGAACGTGACATCATGGCAATGATATCGGAGCTTTCGCTCAGAGCAAAAATCGCGTCGAAAGTGATCCCTCATGATAACGGCACTTACTGCGATCAAACTTTCTTCTTTCCCCTTCGTAGAGAATAGTTGCAGACGAGCGCGGCGCCGGCTATATACGCGTCGCGATTATACGTGATCTCGATCACTTTCTGTCTATGCGTTATGGCTGAATTATCGTCGATGTGTTTCCCTTTGCAATCGCATTAGAAGAGAGCTATGATTTATTAAAAATTTTCTTTTTTTTTCGTAAATAATCCTTTGAATATGATTATGAGTAATCACTTATATTTACTTTTGTATTTGGAAATATTTGAATAATAATTTTTATATAAACATGATGGCACTTAATTTTCTGATATTGTACAGGTATTGGATTTGCATAAAAGAATTTTGAGCTTTGACAAAAGAAATCAAAATCGAAATAAATATAAAAAAAATATGTACACACGTATAAAAGACGAAATCAGGAATCTAAGTCTTTCAGCATCGATAAGCAAATTTCGTAAATTCACTTTACTAGTAAATTCCGATCTACGTTGGAGCCTCAAGAGCCCGGTCAAACGGTCGGGTTCGGCGCTTTCGCAAAGGCGAGTGGCGCTCGAGTGCTGGAAACAAAAGCCCGACGTTTCAATTAGGCCCTTTATTAGTTAGCGATAATAGGGCCAGCAGCGGTTGGACCGACACTGGCCGGATGGCTGGCCGGCGCTTAACCGGAGGTTACGGTGGCTTGTTTGCGCGGATCCGGCTCTCACGATATTAAGGGCTGACTAGGCAGTCTCTCTACCTCCTTGATGTTTAGAATCACCCTTGCCGACTCTCTCGTGGCCCTTTCCTGAATCCAGGCTGAGAGAAAGGCAGTCGGAATCCTCGCGCCTTGTCGGGGCCGTGCCGATTGATTTTCTTGCGCGTTGTGCAAGTTTACGAGGATAAGCGGAGAAGTCGAGAGACGCGACTCTGCTCTCCTACGGTGGACGGGTAGAGCGACGAGGCATGCAAGAGCGAGGAGGACCAGAGGACGAAGCGGTCGTGCCGGGAGAAGGAATTTGTCGCTGAGGAGAGCAGGTCGCAGCAGTCGCCTGCGGCGAGCCGCAACGATCCTCTCGTCCCGTCTGTCGCACTCTACCGCACGATATCGGAGAGAGTGAAAGAGAGAGGAGAGAATGAAAGAGAAAGAGAGAGAGAGAGAGAGAGAAGAGAGAGAGAACAGCCTGCTACTGCTATTGCTACGGGACCGTTCGAAACTAACTTAGGGCCGCCGAAACTACACTCGCTTCCCGCGCCGCAAAACGAGCGGCATGGCTAACAAGGCGGGTGCACGAAATACATTGGATATCGATTCGCGAGGGAGAGATGACGGGGCGAAGCCGCCCTGAGAATATTTCTTGGACATCCAGCGCGGCGCGCGATAAACGACAAGGAAGAATCGCGCGGCTGCTTGATAATTGCAGCTGATAATCCCGTTATTTCGCGCCTTCAAGTTAGAACAACAATGTATGTCGCATGTTCAAATGTGCCATCGGTATCACATGACACATCCGTTGTTCCAGTTCCAAATGGCAATACGCTGTCGATTAATCCTCGAAGCTAATAATATTCTACAATTATCTTTGATTTATCAAACTGTCGTAATTACCTTAATTTGTTTTCGGGATGACCGGTGATCGATCCGTCGCGATGATGTATTAACGCATATATTGCAATGATAACTGGTATTCTCTATTCTCGCTGTCCATGTGGCCTAGTAAATTGCATTTATGTCACGTCGTCTCGATCCATATAGTCCGCAAAATCGGTTTTAGTGTAAACGAGGAAAGCCGGGCTAAGGGTCTCGGGCTGGGTGGGAAGGTACGGCGGGAGAATGGCTGCGACATCTTGTATTGTCAGATCCCAACGCGACAAATTCATAATTGCGTTAATGCGGGTACGGCGAGGGTTCTTGCCGCAACCACCGCAAGGCGCGCCATGGCGTCTTGCGGCTGTAAGAGAGGACGATATAGCATACAGAAGGGGGGTCGGGCGGCAGGAGGCGGCGGAGAGCGGTCCCTTCTGGTACGGGCTCGTTAATCTTCGGAGGATTACGCCAAGGAAGTATCGCCATTGTGCTGGGCGCTCCTCTTCGAGTCGATAATTATTAATTAAATTGGCCGAACGGGCCACTTGACGATTTATCAACTTATCGAGCGCAATTTTGTAGCGATATCGTGTTCTCGAAAGCAATAACAAATTTTTTTAACAATTTCCGAATTTATTAATAACATATGAGAAATAATATTTTATATATTGTTATAATTCTATTAATATCATCAAATATTGATTCTTAAACATTCCAAAAGCTTTAGATAGATAATTATTAATATTTTACATTTAATCTTTTATTACTATCTAAATGTAATTTAAGCTACTAATAATCATCGAAACCACTTTGATGAATTAATAAATCAATTTATGAATTTTGGATTATAATTATTATGTATTTTATTTTATCAAAAGTACACTTAACAAAACGTAGACCTTTTTACGATATTCCAATCACACAAAGGTTCGTTTGTATTCTTTATACTCGCCAGAGTTAAACCAATAGACTAGTCGTTTCAAGCATTGGAAACGAGCTGACTGATACCTAAATGGACGACCAGCGCTGTAAAAAAGCTCAACTTGTAGGTGCTTCATTTCAGTTGGCCGTGGACAATTGAATCATCGTCAAATCATAGCGGGAGGGTCATCAAATCTGCACGAGCGGGCAGGAGAGCGCGATGAGAGAGAAAGGGTTGCCCGTCGGCCGGTTGGTCGGTCGAGGGTAAAAAGGACGGAATTGCAGAAAAGCGGGAGAGAACGGCGACGAACGAACGGGCCGAAATAAAACAGTGATATCGAGGCATTTCACGCACGAGCGAGAGCGTTTAGCAGATTCAACGTGCGTGCCGGCACTCCGCCGTTTCCCTGCCGCGGTGAAACGTCCCTCTCTCGTTTCCCTCCCACCTCGATGGCCCTCTCATTCTCTTCATTTCTCTCCTACTCGCTCCTCTTAGCGCGCTCTTTACCCTTTTCTCTCTTGCTCTATCACCTACACTCCCTCACTACGGGCCTTGCTGAAAAATACTGCTCTCGCTGACACCTGTGGCTTCGACGTTCTACATATGTGCGCACGTAGCACGTCGAGTTGCCGCCGTCGACGAGTGGAAGAAACGAGGGACGACGAAATTGATAGGAGACGATGTCGAAAAAAATCATCATAAACTCTGTCGAGCGTAACGAGAAGCGTGATCGAGTGACGTTTGCGCGACTTGTTTCGATTAGCACGACAAGCAATCTTTAATGTGTTGAGAAATGATTGTTTTACGACAGCATTGTTTTACGACAGATCGCGTAAAGCTTTATTTTTACGCAGCTATGACAGTTTGACACATTCTCTAATTTTATAATTCATTAAGACAAGACTATTTTAAAATAGCTTGGCTTGATATAGCTTAGCTTGTCATAATTTATTTAAATATTAAAAAAATTTGTTATTAGATATTAAAATTAAATTTCGATATTAGATATTAAGGATAAAGATAAGATTTATATCTCGATTTTTATCTTAAAATTTTGTAACATTATTCAAATGCATTTGAAGCTGAGTGCCATGACAAAGGGAAACAAGCTCCACAAGTGGTGGACTTTACTGGACTTAAGATTAATCCGTATAATTACCTACCGTTCTACTTTTTTTGCTGCTATCCGCTTCGTTTTTATACGATACCTTGTAAGAGACTATCTAATAGATTATCCTTCATATCTATATAGTGATTTCAAAGTTGTATAGTCATAAAAATATTTATCAGTCCCAATCTTATTTTAGGATTTTTTTCTTTTCAAAATGCTTTGATATTATGATATAATATTTATAAAATTCTTTAAACACAGTCCTATGCTTAAATTTGTAGTTATTTCTTTTAAATCCAAAGATAAATGTAATACTTTTAAAGCCGTATTGTAAGAATAAATCAAATATACAGATATAAAAATAAATAATATATACGTATTGCCTTTTTTCAAGTATTGATTATTGCTAGAATAAAATTTGATGTTTCTTTCAAAATTGCAAAGTTAGTTACTTTATCAATTATTATATATTGTTACGTATT